GTGCGTCCGTCCGGGCGAGGAAGGAAGGAGGGCGCGGGGCGCCGGGAGGGAGCCGCGCGGGGCTGAGGCTCCCACGCCTGAAGTCCCGAGGGACCGGGGGCCAAGGGCGCAGTAAGGGTGTGGGCGGGAGGCGGGCGGGCTCGGGAGGCGACGTGCGGGGGAGGGGAGACGAGGCCCTCCGCCCCCGCTCTCATCGCCGACCGCTAGCGCCGCGTGTGGAGATGGGCAGTGCGCGTTGCTAGACGCATCGCCTTGTTAACTGAGAATCTCTTTGAGGTCGAGATTGCATTTTTCGTAAGGGTAAACGAGGCGTAGGTGGGATGAGTGACTGGCCTGCAGTCGTCCAGCTAGTAGGACAAAAGTGGAACACAAGGCTTTTTTGCCAGTTTGTTTCTACTTTTTAAAGTCAGTGTTCGATAAAGCCTGCAACGTTCAGGACCTTGTGCCGAGGCTAAGAATGAACAGAAATGAACCTGGTTGGTGTGGTTCCTGGGCTACGGGAGTAGAGGAACTTGGGGGTGGAGAGGTTAACAACTAAGTATACATTCTGACATTTTGCGGCTCTTAAAACAATTCCAAGGTCTGTACGTGAACTGTCTCATTTAATCCTTTCAATAAACTAATGAAGTGGGTACTACCATTACCTCAGTTTTATAGGCGCTAAAAGCAAGACATACAAGTTTAAGTAATTATGCCCAAGGATGCATAATCTGTTGTAGTCATAACACTATACTGTATTGCCTTCCAAATATAATGTGGCAAAGTGGACTCATGCTCTCTCACCGTGTGGTGGAGATAACTTAAGGAATCCTTGGGCTGACAGCCCAGGTATGAGTGAAGTAGGTAGGAGACTATTTGAAAAAACATTGTGGGCAGGTTTGCTTGTGCAAAAATAAAGTGGGGATGAAGACTGATACTCAGAGAATAAGGTAGCATGTAGTGTGAGATCAAGTTTAGGAGGTGGAAGCAAGCTTGTTACCGGGGCCTATTATTGTGTGCCAGGTTAAAGATAAGGCTTTATCTTTAAAAAAAAATCATTGAAGGATTTTAAGGAGGAAGTGATAAGGGTGTGTGTGTCTTGCATATCCATTGTCATGGTCCCACAACCTTGAACTCCTGGGATAATACAGACTGCGGGTATTCTGCACCGCTGTCCTTTCGTGTTTCCTTCTCACTCTTCAGAATGTCTGTGTTTACCTTGAGATTTGAGCTTGAGTGTTTCATTTGCATATTTTTCCTTTCACTCAGTTCTACCAAAGGGGAAATTTTAAAACTGCAGCTCTTCAAAAAAAAAAAGTCATTTTCATGTTTGTTGAGTGCTCATAGTTTGGTCATTAAATCCTTGTTGAGCATTTGCTTAGTACTAGATTCTGGGGCTAAAGAGAAGAAAAGCCATTTCTCTGTGCTTGATACTTTCATTTTCCTGGGGAATAGACATGTACACAAATATTTAAAATGCCAGGTGGTCAGTGCCTGATAGAGAAAAGAGCTGGATCAGGAGGTGGCTGGGAACAGGGAAGAACGGCATTTGAGGAAGAGGAAACGTGGAAAGGCAGGAATTTGCAAAAGGGTACATTTGAAGAGTATTTCTGTGTGGATGGAGTTTCGGGTGAGTGGTTGGAACAAGGTGAGATGAGATGGGAGGGCTTGCTTGGGGCTAAAATGAAGGACCCTTGTACTGTATGCTGAGGTTTTTAGATGTTTTCTCGAAGGAAACAGGAGATGATGGAGGTCTTGTCATAAAGACTTTTTTTTAATTTTTTGAAGTATAGTCAGTGTGTCAATTTCTGGTGTAGAGCATAATATAAATGATTGGTGTTTAAAAAAAATGATGCAGCACGAGGGATGTATGGAATTGGGAGAAATGAGGAACCAGAATGCCATTTAGAGTGGTGCAGTAGGCCGAGGCAGAGGTGAAGAAATGAATGAAGGTAGCACAGTGTACTGGAGAGACTTCGAGAAGCAGTGAGAAGGAGGGATGAACCTGAGAAGTAGTAGAACACAAGAGGCAACCGAGGAAGGGGAGCCGCCACGGAGACAAGAAAGAAACGGGCGAGAGGCAGACGGAGAAGCAAACTGCTGTCTTGGACTGCAGAGGGGAAGGAAGTGCTGAGAGGTTGAAAGGAAGTCAAAAGAGAGGCTAGAAAATGATTTTAAAGTAGCTTTTAAAAAATCACAAAGTCTTGAAAATAGGCCTATGGTGGCCAATGTGAAGGCACGCAAGGAGAAAAATCGTATTTTGAGCAGTGCACACACCCATATTTATATCCTTTTTAAAAGGTCTGTTACAGCATTAACTAATACAAAGCAGTGTTGAGTAGACTAAAGTAGTTTAAAGAATTAAATTAGATTTGATGCTAGAATGGTTTGATATGTTTGCTTAAGCTTTAGGTATGTTATATAGTTTGGAGGATACAGTGATAATGCTAGTTGTCATCTGCTGTGTGTCAGGCCTGTGTGTCGTTTCAGTTAATCCTCGGTTACTCTATGAGGTAGGTACTACTGCGTCCACATTTTACAAAGTAATCTGGTTTGTTATGTGCCTTGAATGACAACAGGTGCCCCATTTTACTTCACTTTTCGTTATCTTCCTTGAATTCACCCTTAGGCCTCTCTGGCACAAATCCGTGTTGACTATGTTATTGAACGTAGAGAAAAGTCCCATGGAGAATGCAGGCTGGGATTGAAACGGGTGAGGAGCAGGTGAATGAGGACAGCCAGGCAGTAGCTGACGGTGCTGATTAGGAAGTGTGAAAGCGTGCTGAGTTGGAAAATTCCCAAGGCGTCAGCTGAGTCCTCATCCCTCCAAAAGTAGAGAAAGGGTGGAGTAAAGCAGACGCGTGCACTTTGGAAGAAGAGGGAGCTAAGCGGTAATGGTAACGATCAGTAGCTGTCAGGAGCAAGAGGCAGTGGGTCAGGGAAAATGTGAGAACGAGTAGACACCACGGGACAAGCTTTGGAGGAAAGCAGCAGCATTTACAAGAGAGCTAGGTTTCCGTTAAGCTAAGTTGTGGAAAGGACTGGTAGCAAAGTGAAAAATACTGGGAAGTCTAGTTGCACGGTCCAGGGACATAGCGGCAGGGGCTTGTGAAAGCAGGACAGGTGAGTTCGGGGGGCCAAGGGCTGAGCAGGTGACGGTAGCAGAGGATTACCTGGGGTAGAGAGGTCAGGGTTCTCTCCCT